TAGAAATGTAAATTTATGTAATTATATTTTGTTTCTTTTCCTAGACAAAAAACATAAATATTTAACGACATAAATTAACAATACTTTAAATGGCCAAAAAGTGTTTGAAACGTTTCTTGAGAATAATCTGATAATTTACAGTTCATGAAGTAGTTTGACAATATATATTAATTACACTCCTTAACCCTGATCGTACGTGCTCTATGCATCTTAGACCCTCTTATAGGTCTAAAGGGACACATACAGTAGAATAAAGACATTAGATAGACGAGGTGTTTAATCTTGATTTGTCAATCTCATATATTATCTCTTAATCCGATTCACAGGAAAGGGGTTCTAAATGAATACCCCTCAATTCCATTTATAGCCCATCCTGGTTGGCAGTGGTGGTTTTGCTTTAACACTAGCAAATGTATTCAACCGATGTAACCGCAGGGAACCGCATCTCTTTACCACACCGAGTGATGGAGTTTGAATAGAATAGTTACTGTTTGTTTACTGTACTATAGTGGAAACATGGAGGCAATGTTGTAAAGCACATTTTTATGTTTAAGTTATATTTTGTATTTACTTACTTTCGATTAGGAACTTTTAGAATTCCTACGAGAATAATAATTACTAGAATTAAAACATGTCCTAACCATAACAATTACCAGTTAGATAATTGCAAATTCAAATGCGCAGAAGCTGCTAGTAGCTTTATCCATACTAGCAACGGCATGAGGATACAGAAGAGAGTTATGGGGTTATTTGCTTGTACCAAAATACATACTCAACATTGATTTGAGAAGAAAAACTCAACTGTACTGCTTAAGTTTAACAAAATTATACTTGGGTCAATCAGTTGTTGCAGAATAATCATCGAGTTCCAAACATTAAACGATTAGGAACGTAGCTCGAGAGGATTTTGGACATGAATGGGTCCTTGTGTTATCCATGCTCATAATCTATCTTTGGGTGGAATCCCAACCTTGTGAGATACGTAGTTTTTGCGCTCTCCCGAAACAAACAGATACACAAATACGCAGACAGCAACCTCTCTTACGTTGAAATATTTAGAATAACTCGCAGTAAGTTGTGAGTAACATAATATCTTGAAACAACAACTCTCCGTACGTATTATAACGGTAATTCATTGACCTAATTATGTACAACAGGCTTACGCCGTTCAAAGAAAAGTTTCACTGCCCCTGGCGTGAAGATTTCAGGGTTGTTGTAACCATGAGGGGGTTAAACCAATAGCAGTTTTTCTGATTGGCAAGAATGATACATTGCTAAGGGATGAAAAACTTACATTCTCTGATATGACAGGAGTAAAATAACTTGATGCAATTAATACACTGTGGAAATTGTTCGTACGGTATCAATTCGAAGTTTGGCCTAAACTTTGTAAACAAATTACAAATCTAAGCTGGACGATCATGTTGATGGAACTAACTGAGTGAGTTGAAAGTTGAATGGATAACATGTTTACATGCAACATACATTAATATAATTTCATCACGAACCTAATTTTGGGTAAATAGAGACGAAAACTAAGCATACCATACCACGTGTAAACAAAAGTCTTTCCACATAATGAAATTTTATTGTGTCCTTCTACTGTCGTCATAAGAGACTAGGCTAATTGTATGTTGTTCAATTCTGCTGTTCAATTCAAAGTATTGTTAGGAAGGTCAACAATCAATAAATCAATCATTGTGTACTAAATTTATTTTAGCGCAACCAACCAAATAATCATTATCATAAAATGGACAGTAAATTATCCATCAATATAAGGTAGAAGTTGGGTAAGGAGTCAAATTAAGGTTGCAGCATAAAAAGTAAAACAATGAAGTGCATCAAGCTGTCCTTAATATGGAAGATGAAGAACTAATTTTAGAAATCAATAAATAAGACAAAAGTAAGCAGTTTGTGCATATATTTGGTCGGAAGCCAAGAGACTCTCACTGATCCTCTTTTGCGTTTTTATGTCTCATTAGATCGCGCCTAGACTTGCTGACACATTTGTGGAACGGCGACGTTGACTGAGAGTTTGAAAAACTGAAATTACGGTGGTTTCACTGTGGATCTACTGCGAAAAGTAGATCAATTAAGGATGTTATTTGTTACAAAAATTCGAGCGTTGTAATCTACATAAATCGTCACTGAATCACTTGTACTTGTCAACTAATTTCGGTTGAATTTAATCTTGTAAGTTAAGTATTTGATCACGAAATGCCATTTAAACGTACTTTTTAAAATGTAATTACAATTTAACTACAGGAGCTTCCTTAACTTCATTCGTTGTTTTATATGCGAACAATTAGGAAAAGCACTATAGTAATTTTGGTATTAAATCAACACAAATCTTTCTCTGTGACAACTACCTAAAGCGTATGATATGGACAGCTGAATTTCCCACTGTTAAAAGACTGTGATATTTAGTTCCGAGTTAAAGAATTTCTTAGTTTGAATAGTTCTTACATAATAGGAGTAGTTCGTTGATAAACCCAGTGGTCTTACTAACGATACCACAAGAAAACACTGATTTACACTTAGAATCCATTTTAAAACTTTTAAGAGTAAAATTACGTGGAAACAAAACAATTAAGGACAACTAGTCTGACGGTCAAGCTGATATCAAAAAAGTGAATTAGAGCTGATATTTAGACTGATAGGGTGATAGAGGTAGCATTTATTTGTCTACATATCAGTGGAGAAAAATATTCAAGTAATGGCTCCATTATGTTTTGTACGGAGTACTGATAAAGAGCGTAAAATCTATTAACCAAGACAATGCTGATATGCAGACTGATATAGCGGTGATATAAAGGCAGTTACACCTTACATAAAGTGCTGATATGCTGACTAATATATTGGTGCTACAAAGGCAATTACATCTAACATACAGTGATTATATGCAGACGGGTATGTTGTTGGAGTTATAAAGGCAGTTACACCTTGCATACAGTGCTGATATGCAGACTAATATATTAGTGCTACAAAGGCAATTACACCTAACATACAGTTATGATATGCAGACTGATATGTTAGTGCTCCAAAGGCAGTTACACCTTACATACAGTGCTGATATGCAGACTGATATGTTGGTGCTCCAAATGCAATTACACCTAACATACAGTGGTTATATGCAGACTGATATGTTGGTACTATAAAGGCAGTTACACCTTACATACAGTGCTGTTATGTGCTCCAAAGGCAGTTACACCTAACAATACAGTTACACCTACAATACCTAACTTTATGTTTCAATACTTTTCATAGTAGTACTCAGTAGTACTTAGTAGTACTCATTATTGCAGACGTGGATAATCCACACCAGGGAGTATCGCGTTCAAATTGCATGCAAGTAAATATACAAAATTCGTGACCTCCTAGTAGCTGGATTACAGGACGGTGCCACTGTCTCAGTCTAACATACACTAACATGTGCATATTTATATTTTTAAGATATTTGAGACATTTTTATTTAAGACATCTATTTATGACATTTAATGGCAAATAGATCATAAAAACCAATAAAACTTTAGCTATATTAAAATGAAATTTTTAAATAACAGTTTTGGTATTGATACGTTAATTTATTATTTTTTAATTTTCTCTATGATGTCATTGTATGGTTATGGATGTGTGTTATCGAGGCTTCTCAATTCTGAAAAGATACTCGGGGTTATATAACGACCTGTTATTTCTCAGTAGGCTAAAATAATGACGTGGAATTAAAAGAGAGACTAACACATCTGATTCGGTAACCTCTAAAAATAGGCCATCTTCTTATTCTCACTTGTTTGTATAAATCCACAGAGGGTTAGTTCTTAATATTTTGGTTTTCAGACAAGCAAGATTTTGAATGGTGTGATTGCTATTACCTTTCTTCAAGTACATATTCAAGCATGACGCAATTTGTACCTAATAATTATACTCTAGCCCACATCTTTATCTGCAGATGGGAGAAAAATATAAGAAATAATTTTTTAACGACTTTCTTCATGTGCAGTCTACATATTCCTCACTTTATACTAGACAATAGGCCTATTACAACTGAATGAGTTTATAACCAGCCTAGGAATGAACTGTTTGATCAGTGGTTAAACCTAAAAATTTAATCTTTGCACTATATTAAACAAGTATAATAGTTACCAAATGATCTTGGTAGGCAATTAGGTTGTAATTTATCTGAAGAGTGTTATTCTATTAAAGTAAATTATGTATTAGATTTTGTTTATATAAAATGTTTATTTTAGTAAGTCTTAATTTATTAATTAAAAGTAATCATGTTAATCCATAAAGTAAATAATGCAAATTATATATTCCAATAGACATTTTAATTAGGGAACAAAGTTCATACACCACATTAATGTACGCATTAACATGTACACATGTAACAGCATTAATGTAAGTATTTAAAATTATAGAAATATTCTAGGCCTGATACCTTTCTATGGCGGGAACGGTTTAGAAAATGGAAACATTTCACCGCCTACTTTAGTAACGGGTGAGAGGGAAAGTAAGTAAAAATAGGCAGGCACTTAAGTTCGAGTGATTGAATGGGATTCATCATACACTCAATGTTTATGGCAGAAATATTGATCCAAGGCTAAGCTTTAAGGAAATATTGAGCAGGTTATTTTGTTTCATAGCGTTTCATATTAGTACAGCCCCGAAAAGAGTGATCATTCGATTTTATTATTTGCAATAAAAATTAAAAAAATAACTTCCAATAAGTTTTATAGACAATTAATAAAAACTCTAGTATAAAACCAATATCTCAAAACCAACCACCAATCTAACTGTATACGATTCGAACATTTGTAATGATTTACTCTTACAAATCTTAGTAGGCCTATCCAATATAATAAAAATCATGTTTAACTTCAATATTAACAACATGAAATATATTCCTAACACAATGAAATAATTTCACCAGAACAATAATTTTTTCAAAAGTTCTACATTAGATAAATTTACCTACTTACAGAAGAAAAAACATTACAAACCTTGCAATTCTTGGTAATATCCAGGTAAATCACAAAACCACAACACACCACACTGACGTACGTATCGGGTAGTTACCGCGCATATCCTAGACTCACACGCACGCGTGGTTCACCACAGACTGAGGTAGCGAGCGTAGAGCGTTACCCCCTCCCCTACCCTAGCGGACCTAGGCGCCACGGAACCGAGGTAGGTGTCCAAGGGGGTAGATCACCGATCACCGAGGGTACGACCTGGAACATACATTGATCTTAGGAAGAAGATCGTGCGATAGACGAAGATGGGGGTTTAATGGAAGAATATATGCAACTGTAAGGATTAAAGGGTTAATAATTGATTTTTAAAAGTTTGGGTCGTGAAGGTTCATGCAGTATATGTTGACCTTACATTTACCCATCACAATAGGCCTAAGATTCAGCGGTATCTTTTGAATTATAAAATAAAAATTTGTTCCTCTTCGTTTAAATAGTCACAGGAAATATAGCGGGATATAGACCTGAAGAAATTAGTAGGATATTTAAAAAAAAACTTAAGGTGCAGTCCTTCACTGAGTCAACTGTGTCAAAATCAAGTCGCTCTAATTCCGTGTATAAAGGAGCGTTTCATTTTGACACCGTCGTCGTAATACTGTATCTTGAATCCACATTAGTAGTGGTGTTATACGAAGTTTGCAGCCTATGACCTTGCAATAGAATAGGACAATCAAAGTAGTCATAAATTTAGTGTTATCGTCAGAATAACCTTCAACTTCCTTCTGGTACTGAAAAGTACCCAGGCAAATGTAGCTCGGAATGTTAACTATGACGAATCAAGTGCCTGGCAAGGCACTTAAGTTGAAACTTACTTTAGCCATTAAGCCATTTAGCCATTTAGTCGAAAATCATACTTTCGGACGAGCCATCAACACAAAACTTGTAAATTTTGGGAAAAAATGAACTTTAATTTCTTTGGGATCCATAAATCAAAATTACGGTGTTTAAATCTAATTTTGAAACTTGGTTTTTGTGTCACATTCATCAAATGAAAATATCCTTTTACGCAGTACAAGGACACAAAAACAAATCGTCTTCGAAAATAATAATTAAATCAAATATTTAAAAAATATATAAGTTATGTGAACCAAAATGTAACTGAGAAAACTCACAACATGGAGATTCATCTATTTAATTTACAGCGTCAGAGTTTATGAAAAGCTAAAATTACAAAGTTGCAGGTAAATACTAGTATTTACATTACAACCATCACGACTACGGGCACAAACGCTTCAGGCATCAACATGTTTTCGTACAACGATAGCAAAACTCTTTTCTGTTGATTTACAGTTAATCAAATCAAATCAATCAATCTTTATTCCGAGACAACAATGTACAAAAATCATACAATGCTGTATAGGCTGCGTCAATATGTAAATTAATAAAACATTTCAATGGTCAAAACAATTGTCAAAATATTCATCTAAGTCATAAAAACAGTATTTCAATAACAAATTCTTAACAGCTATTTTAAATTTATCTAATGGTAACTCTTGAATATAATATGGTTAAGATATGTTGCACGATTTATAATATTTCATTACAAATTCAATAATTTATGTTTGTGTGTTTGTACATTAAACAACACTGCTAATGAGTAAAACACGATTAAATTTCTTCAATTATATTGGATGTTAAAATAATCCTCTCCACCTGTTACTCTAAAGTACAAATAAAATATTTCAAGTTAAAGAAACACTTCGTCTGGTATTCTTAGTTTAAGCCAAAATATTTCACGCTAAAAATGTTTCTATAATCAACGAGGATAGGATTTTCTTTAAAGAAATATTTACTCCTGAAAGCAATAAAATAAATTGCTTTCAAAATTTAATTTTGTTTTAAATTCTTTCACAGCGGTGCTTAATACCTTGAAGAAAATCGTGATATAAATTAAATATCATTTTATATGATGATTAATCTATTTCAAAAATTAAAATCGGTTATTAATTATATGTTTATAATACCCAGCAATATTATAAGGACCATATTGCACAATTTATTTCGAGATCAAACGCCAACAGGTCGTGTTAAATATTAAGCGGCCTCCGCCACTGGTGTGCTTGTGGTCCTCACTCGCAGCTAATGTCTGGACTTGTGTTTATTTACAGCTTGCAAATCGCCTCTTGTGATGTATTTATTAAGAGCCAGTTATTATTAGCACAGTTCCGCGAACATCTCATTCCTTTGTTGTACGTTTTGTTTCGCCACGTTAAAAGCTTCTTGCTAAATGTTTGTTTAGACTCCCAAGAGGCGATCGATCTGACCATTCCGTCTTTTTGTAATCGGGTTTTGGGTCGGAATTTCAAAAGCACTTTTGGGAAACTTAATGTTCTTTTTTGCTGGAGAAGGGGGTTATATTGGATTTAAAGGTAACCGGATATTTGTAGAGGAATATGTTACTTTGATATTAATGTGAGAACGAAAAATTAAACATACCTATTACGGATTTATATATGTCAGCTAAAAGATTTTACAGTACAAAGGATGTGTGCGAATTTACTATTTGTATCTTGTTATTTAACTAATTTTAAAACTATTTTAACCACAAAAATTATTGATTTATAAAATATTGCTTGCTCCATAGTACTATAACCGAACACTAAAGATTATTCTGGTAGAATTGGCTCTTAACAAGATGAAATAATTCGGTCGACACAAACGATCTCAAACGTCTTACAATATGAAACACTAATAGTACAAGCTTCATGTTTTACAATGGGACGAGAAATCCACCAGCAATACTCAAAGTCAATGAAGAATATAATGATAACGATAAAAATACATTTTATTTATAAAAGAGGCTATATGTGTTTCTTATATATGTTAAAATTCAAAACTGCAATGTAGAGAGTTAACAACTATGGTAAGCTTTCGCGATTTCTACCCAAAGGGATTGTCTTGATGTTAAACACAACTGTTTCATAGTAAAAATCTTCATCCATAACCAATTATATATTTTATAATATGACGAAACTTAGCTTTATAAGTTAACAATGATTTGTACCAAAAATTTTATTACAATGGAGTTATAAAATGTATTGTTGCTGAGTATAAACAAAATACCTGTTTACAATAAAGAAAACTTAACCGATTAAAGAATCTGAATCGTCCTCGGAGGCTCTCTAAACGCTTTCAAAATAAATATTAGAGAGACTTACCTATAACGAAAGGAAAAGGTCAAACTATACTATAATCGAACCATAATTTTATAAGTAATGAACTTAAAGTTCCCAAGTCCATAAGAACATGGTAAATATGATAAAAAAAGGGCGTTTATCAAGAAAAAAAGAAATTTTAGATTTTTTTTTTGTAAACGGTAATAGTCCTGGTCTAGTGTAAGACGTTGAGCTTTTGCTGGAGAGCAAAACTATTTGATGGCCCAAAGATAGATAATAACCTGCTTGAGATTGGACCAACAACATTGAGGCTTACAACATCATAATCATTCAGCTAACCAGACAATTGACTAAAAAAAAGGTCGTTACCAAATAGATATATTTGTATAATATTTAGAATTTTTTCACACTACGCTAAAGTCTTCACAACCTATAGTCAAGGTCAAAACAAATTCACGGAAAGGTAGAACCACTGTTCCTCGTACCCAGTCTTCGTCTCTCAGGCCTAATGGTTACTAGACACATCCCCCGGAATTCCAGTAGGTTTCTGTCACCAGAAACACGAAAGACCTCCCCTGCTTCAATTGATGAAAGGAGAGCTTCATAAATAAACCCATTTAAATTCCATCTGAGGTCTGATCGACACGGGCGATCTCTGCCGTCGAGGGTGGCCTGTGTCATCGATATGTGGTTTTCCCAACCACCACCACCCCAGCTGGGAGAACATTAACTGTTCACAGGGGCTAAGCTTGCCTGGACGTCAATATCGTTACAAGGTATTAGCGGAGAAATACTTCGTCGATGATATATGGTTTTTTATACATATGAAGAGACGAAGATATTTATTTTTGTATTTTTTATTTAATTTAACAATTACCAGTATTTGAGAAAAGTCACTTCAAAGCCAATACAGATAAATATGGATAATACATCTTATTTTCCTTTAGAATTGTCTGTAACTGTCAATACCAATATAGTTCAACGAATATAGTGAAATACTATATAGTCGAGTTGAATTAAACCATTAAATGATCCTAAATGAAACCCTATAGCTATTGTATACGGTTCCAAGTATAAAACGTGTAATTGACATAACATAGTTAAGTTTTATAAGTTTTTAAAAGCAAGACTAAATACAATAGTATCACAATGTTCAGTTTCTCAGAAACTTTTAACACATAATACCTGAACACTCACTAACGTGTTTGTAACTATATTCTACCCTAGAATATAACATAAACAGTGTTTGTCTGTTGGCTTACTTACTTACTTGTTTAATCCTTTATTCTAGAAAATGGTTTCAGTTTCCGTTGAATGTTTCTAGGAATTAAATATGCATGTGTGGGTGAATTATTTACGTGCTTACCTAATAAACAGAGAGTTGTCATATCGATCGATCCAGAGTACAGTATGAAGCATTTTTACGGTTTATGTGTTTCTATTAGTTGGTCCTTTTTTAAATTCCTTTTTTAAATTCCTTTTTTAAATTCCTTTTTTTCTTCCTTTTTTAAATACGATTATATTTATGCATGGTTTACGATTTTTTATGTAAAGTATGTTGTTATTTCGAATCACGAGCAGTCCGATTACAAAGTATCGTAAAAAGTTTATTTTGTGATAGCTTTATTTACCAATCACAAAACTGTTAAGAGCCCCTGAAAGTTAACTCTTACTGTAGATATTAAGCATTGTCATAAAATAATTTTTGTATGTTTTCAAAATATAGAGAGAAATAAAAGGTGATATGTGCGACCGAGGTAGAACACAGGACTGGACACATGACACAGTACGGCTGTCGATGATCAGAGTCGTTTGATCGGTGTGACAGTTAGATCATTGTGTATCGGAGTTTACTGTGTCAACGATCTGTGAAATGCCGCGTTTTATAACACAATTGTTTATCACCAGAGAGTGAGGTGAAAACTGTGCAGTAGTGTTATAACCATCAGGAAACCAATAGTTAATGGTTATATTACATTGATAATTATAATCGTATTGAGTCTGAGGGAGGGAGTTATCAGAAAAAGTTCTGCTCAAGTGAGAAACATTTTATATTTTCTGACAGTTAATTTGAAGTACAGCTGA